AATTATCGCCGTGCGAGCCGTTCTCGTCATCGCGACGATGATGATGACTTAATGAGAGCGCTGAAATTGACGGCATGTGACACACATGTCCCAAACGTGGACATATATACACAACTGATTGCATAATATCCTGAATTGTCATGAACAATCCGTGCCGCTGCATAGATCACTGCCGTTTATATTCGAGATCGTAAGATCGCGAATTGCATGAAAAGCGGAGCATCACAGTGGATTCTTAACACCATAAGACACATGACGATTTCAAGATCCCCCTTGCGAAAATATTTGTTCGCACGACGCAGCCGTTAATGAAGTGATCTCGGGGCTGAACAATTAATAAACTTCCGGCGCAATAAGTGAAACGTGCGTATCTGCAGGTTCTCCCTTTCCTTTTTTGATCTCTCGACCGCGTGAGGTGCTTTCAGGATGACGATAAAGCACTATTAAAGCTAACCCCAAGCCCTATGAATACGAGCCGCGGATGAAAAATGGACCGGTGGACACTTTATAAACTCCTAACCGCGGCACAATGGCTTTGAAAGCTCACCGAGGTCCTCAATGCGCTCGTAGGAAAGCGATGAAAGAATGAACGCCCGCTCAGCTCCTTGTTTTGCTTCGAATTCCATCAATATACTTCTTACGTCGCTGGTTTTTCTCGATCCGGCGGGCAAAATTGTATGCACAGTTGACCGCAGGATCTGCAGAATCCAGCTATTCGCGCGTTCCTCTGTTCATTTCAAGCTTTCTCACGTTGCTGTCAATATCGTCGAAATTGGACACAGTGCGATATCGTCGTTGATAAATAGTTATCGCTATTTTAGCACTCACGATCGGGTTGAAAAATTAAGTGAAAAATTAAGATCCTACAGTTGTCAAATCTGGAATTACTGTGCGTATAAGATAGAATTCTTTTCTTATAGCATGCAAAATTCCTTACTTCTGCACTGAGAGAGAAATAAATATATGAAGAATAAAAAAAACATTTATTCGGTAAGCACTAATAACATATTTACGCTAATATACATATTTTCACACTGAGAGAAGACTTTTTCCAAATGAGAAAATATATTATTCTTCAAAATATAGCATTTCGTGAAAGCGATTATTTATTCTATTTAAAGTAAACATAAAAGTCACTTCATTTTATAGTATTCATCAGTAGAAGTGTTTTTAAAAGAATAGATATGAAAAAAGTTAACATTTTAATTATTAATAAGAAACCATATCAAAGCATAAAAATGTTCGCCGAATATAACCGAATGTATTACAAAAGCAAACACTATTGATAACTACGCGCATCCATAATTACGCCGTCTAATGTGACGTTCCGTGGCCTTTATATCCCCCGTCCCTTCTCGTGATGTGACGTAATTATTGAATAGCCCTCAAGTACATTTACAGATATTTAAGTAAGAGAATATTACAAAGTTACTGAAAAGTTATCTTGACCTAGTGCGCCAGACTAAACGACAAAAAATAAGTATACCAACAATAAATTAAGAGGATCATTATCTTCCTGGTTTTCTTGCACTCTACGAGATCCCTTCCGTTCCCAATTACTCTCCGTCTGTCATCGGCGCAGGCCGAGTGTATTCTACATGGAGCGCATCGTTGTTAAAATAACAAAATAGCGAATTACCGTCGATTTTTCGCAACGGCTCTTCGCGTCGCATGAACGCCTTTGTTTTGATCAAATCGTAACTAATTAATCACGAGGGAAGCGGAGGCAACAAGCGCGCCGACCGTGGGACACCTGCGTTATTCGTAGCACTAATTAAAAACGAGCTTCATTCGGGCTCCGTTCGCTCCAGATCACGATTAAATCCGTCCCATTGTTTCTGGGAGCTGCGCCAAGCATGCCGGCACTTTTCATTTCTGCGAAATGAGCCGCCATGCCGATTTTAGGATATGATCGAATCATGTCCACGTCACAAGGGAGCGAGAAAATAATGGAAAACGCGAGATGCGGCGTAAAAATACGCCAGTTTATAACCTCACGAAGATACTTAATTAAAGCCAGAAATATCGCGGCGGCGGCGATGATAACACGCGTTGTTTGTTGGTTAATAATCCCGCGTCGAAATTTTGATGTTACTTTCTCGCTCTTATTAAGGGGAAACCGGACCTTTGAATAGGCGAAAAAATCGATGTGATAAATCACTTGTCACAATGTCACAAATTTCTCGACAAATATAAATATATTTACGTTTCAGTAATAGTTTGTGTATAATTTTAAAAAAAGAACGATATATTTAATGTTGCAAAAAAGCTTGTTTATTATGAAATATGGAGTGATGAAGAAAGGATTCTTCTTTGTTTTTGCCACGATTTTGCAATCCTTTTATAAAATTTTGAAAATCTATTATCGGCATTCTTTTCCTGAATAAATTTTTTATCGATTAAATTTTGAAAAAAAAAACAGGAAGAATAACATTTATTGAGTAACTAGCGTTCCAAAAACCATACTTCTTCGAAATTTTTCGTCTTTCTCCATTTTTTTTTAGGTAAATGCAATGTTTTGCAACAATTAAGTTTGATATATGGAAAATCTAATTTCAAGGATAAAAGAAGAAACAAGAAATGAAGAAACAATTCAGGAATAAAATTGCTCCGGTATCTCTTTCTGTTCTCGAGAAATTATGGTGAAACCGGGAAAAATATAGTTTCGAGAGAATTGCATTCGAAGTTTCATAGACAGATTTTCAACATGATCAAATGTTTATTCGACTTAATCTTACTGAATCGCACTTAGTACGTTCATTTTGTCACGATAATTCGACCGATCTTTATTCCCCGTGTAGAGTTTAAAATTGAAACATACGGCTGAAACTTGGATCCGAGATTGGTCGGAACAGTAACAACTCGCCCGTCAAAGAAGGTTGCTGCTAAAATATAATTCGGCAGATCCGCTCGTGCGCAACGTCATTCATTACGCAATGATGATTTCCCTTTGAAGCGAAGGATCAAGCTTCATCGTTGCATGACGTAAGACCCCATCAATGTCAATTCTCGCGTGATCCTGCACGCGCTGTTGGCGATGATTACTGACTTTATCATTACAAGGCTATGATAATGCAGCGGCTTGTAGTGAGCCGTGATACCAATTAATCCCATCCAACGGTAACACGACGCGAGCCCCAGCCATGATCTCACACACCGACCGGTCAGCTTTGTATTTCGTATACGTCGCACGTGCGTTATAGCCAGCAATAATTTTACGATTCGCACCTGCCGATGGCCGATTTACCACCGTGCGAATCTGAATGCCCACGCGCCGAACACGCTCGTGCGAAACGCGCCTCGCCTTTCGATCGTGTTTGTTCCGTAAATTAACTCGATCCGGCCGATTGCCGTGAATCGCTTGGATAATTAACGCCCGATAATAGCCACTCTTCTGTACGAGTATAGGCTGTTGAATATAGCGCTGTCGAGCGAATTATGTACGCATATATATATATATATATATATATATATATATAATTTATTTATTTTAATATATA